GTACGAAACAGAATGCGTGGTAAGACCCAAATTGAATTTTAAAACAAGTAGAGGTGGTTGGGAAAAGACTGCAGGGATAAGACCAAAATGCTTGCAGCAATTATCCTGGGTGATTTTCTTCCTTTTTAGTACTTAATTTTTCAATATTTTTTTAATTGGCGTGACATGCATTATTGCTAAATCTGGGGGAAGTATCAATAAATGTACTTTTCTCTTTAAAAGGGATCTGGGGGTCCTACTGGCATGCGGGGCCAGATACGCTAATGGTGTTAAAGTCCTTCACAGCAAAGAATGACCCACCCCCAACGTCAAGGCAGCCCTGTTGACAGAATCGCATCTAACTTCTGTTTTATAATCAAAGACATTGAGGTCCGGAGAAGCGGGGGCCCAAGGTAGCAAAGCAGCTCTAAATCCAAACTGGAGTCCAGCTCTCCTGGTTCCTAGTTGAGAGCTTGCTCTATTTCCCCCTTCGTGGAGAAGGTGAGATCTGAGTTGTTTAGGAGAAGAGCACTACAGTGGGCTGGAAAATGACCACCCCAAAATATCAGTTCCCAATCCCTGGGACCTATCCACTTTACCTTATAGGAAAAAGGGTCTTTGCAGAGGAGTGTAAGGGCCGCCTGAGTCAGTTTAGGCTGCTGTAACAAAATACCGTAAACTTGGTGGCTTAAACAATAAAAATTTATTTCTCACTGTTTTGAAAATTGGGAGGCCTGAGATCAAGGCACCAGCGGATTTGACGTGTGGTGAAGGCTTCCTTCCTGGTGTGCACCCGGCTGCCTTCTCGATGTATCCTCACGTCGTGGAGAAAGATCTCTCTTTCTCTGTTCATAAAGGCACGAATTCCATCCTGAGGGCCCCTCCTTCGTGACCTCATCTGACCCTAATTAGCTCCCAAAGGTCCAACCTCAAAACACCGTCATACTGGGGACTAGGGCTTCAACATGTGGATTTGGGGGAGACACGGACATTGAGTCCATAGCAGGGATCCTGACATGGGGAGATCATCCTGGATTCTCAGGGTGGGCCCGAAATCTAATCCCAAGTGTTTTAGAACAGAGAGGCGGAGAAGATTACTCGGACGAGTAGGAGGCGAGGGGACCGTGATTGGAATGGCGCGACCAATGGCAGAGATCGGAATGGCGTGACCCCAAGCCGAGGACGGCTGGCAACTGCCAGAAAAGTGGACAAACCAAGGAACGGATTCTCCCTGAAGCCTCCAGAGAAACCCAGTGAAACTCATTTCAGATTTCGGGCCTCCAGAACCAGAATGTACTTTGAGACAAGACATTTTGTGGTTTTAAGCCACCAAGTTTATAGTAACTTGTAATGCAGCCACGGGAAACTGCTGCAGGTCGGCTTGGGCCCGGCCATGAGAGGCGCGTCCTGAGAGCCGTCGTGAGCGCAGAAATGCTGGCGTGAGCGACTGCGCTTTCACGGAACGTAGAAAAGGCCAGTTTCTACCGACACTGGTGTACGTGGAGAGCCGCGGAAGAGACACCCTTCCTAAATTGCCTCTTATAATTTCTCCGAATTTCTAAAGAAGAAGCACTTAGTTCAAAATTATCAGAAAGCTTGACACAATATGCTGTTTCTATTGCTTTCCTCTATTTGCTTTCTGTGAAATATAAACAAACCACATAAACTAAATATGTAAAAAAATAGCAAATTTAAATCTCATGTATACATTTCTCCTCCACTGAAAGGCAATTTACATAAAACACAAACATAAACAACATCTGTGTATATCTCCAGTAATATATTAAGTGACGATGATGTTCTCTTTAACCAAAAATGTACTTATGCGTTCAAAATTGCCATTTATGTAGAATTGTGGGGGAAATACACATTTTTTCCAATGGAAATTATCCTAATGTGTTTTAAAATATGTAAACATGCCCTAGATCTATCAAAGTGGTATTCGTGAAATACCACACATGTTCAAAGGTTACCCAAGTAATTATATTTTATAGCTTTTAAACTGGTATGTATCTCTGAACACACACTCATGCAAACACACGCCACATGCCACACACACACACACACACACACACACTCTGCATGCACGCATGGAGTTCAGAGCTGAACGTGTTTGTGCGATTCCTGCTTTGGATGATTAAGACATTGAGGATTCTAATCACCTCTTCCAGAACAAAGCATGCATCTTTTGTTGGTGGCAAAGTGGTACAGGTTTTGTTACATGCTATCTGAATCCGAGGGACTAAATACCTTACCCGTTCAGGTTTCTGGGGCCGTGTACAAGGATGTCGAAGGAGCAGGCTTTCGGGCAGCAGTCCCGCCGCCATTCGCAAAGCCGTCTTCGTGGGGCGAACATCCTCTATCATGGATGGTATCAAAGTTCGAAGGTGAGAGCCTTCTCACTGTAGTCCTCCTCCTGTTTAAACTGGATTTTCTCCATTCTCTTCCATCTCCTCTCCACCTACCCTGCCCATCTAGGTCACCATACTCTTTCTTCTCCAAAGACCATCTTCTTGGAGGAGGCAGGGTAACGTGAGCACCCTGGTTAAGCACATGGGCTCTGAAGCCACCTGGACCTGCGTTCGGGTCCTGGCCTGCACACTTGTCATCGGGGTGACCCTGGGCAGGTCGTTCCCATGCTAGAGCTTCCATTTCCTTCTCTGTGAAATGCGGAGGATGCTACAGTGCCAGACTTACTCTACGTTGTTAAGAGGCTTTAACGAGTCATTAGCACAAAAGATGTGTATAGTGCGAGGAAGGGTCCAAGCGCGTCCAGGCGCCTCCCCTCTGTTCCCATGAAGACCCTGTGCTCCGTGCAGAAGGGACCGGCAAGCTCACACACGGCACCGCGTGCAAAGAGCTCGGAGCGCAGCTGGCATGTGGCTGTTCCCTCTGCAGCCAGCACAGAATCGCACATTTCCTGCAACTGCTAAGCTCTACCTTCGATAGCCCTCAGGTGTGCCCCCAGTTTTCTGTCGTTCAGACTCCATGGGATAGGGGTCGGAGTTGGCGGTGGAACGGATCGGCCGGCTGTGGGGACGGACACATCGTGAGGGGCTGGACCTCGTGCACACTCGCACTCTCTTTCGTCTTAGTGAGTGCTGTGCTAGCTGAGCCTGTTGTGCGCTTTGTCTGTTCTCAGCAACCTGAATTATGCGCTGGTCTCTTCTCTGGACGGTGCTCACCTGCACTGGACCGTGGCCGCACTGTGTTACATTCCGTCACACACAGCCTGACCACCCACTGAAACGCACAGTGACTACCAAGTAAGCGAGAACTAGTTACCAACTACGTCACATCTAAATGGCACCAAGGATAAGAGACGTCACTGTTTTAGGTGCAGCTAACAAAAACAGGTCCAATTATACCACGACATGTCATTGACTTTAAGATGCATTCTGATCTCAGAGATGCTAAAATATGAAAACAGTGTGCAGCCTCAAATCCACGAAAAACAGTATTTTCACAAGAAAAGTGGATATTTGCATTATAAAAGCACTTAGTGCCTTGTCTGATTAGATAGGAAAAAATGTTATTTTATGGATGCAGAAATGCATTTAAATACTAGTCTGCATGAGCTTGCGGATGGCATCCAATTCTGAAATTCCCTCTAAACTATCCCTGTGTAGTCACTTCCCAGAGTCACTTGCTGTCATTCTTCGTATTTCCGTGCAGTCACTGACTGTCCGTGCCATCAACATTTAATTTCCCTTTGGACATCTTTTATTTAAATAATCTCCATTATTGCTCCCTTCCTTGCTCTATTTCTACACACACCTTCTTCCTCCTATTCCAATGGCATTCAAAGACCAGAATCTCATTTAAAATTAAAAAAAAAAATCTGCAGTAAACACAAGTTATCGGATGATCAGCTTGTCTCCCAGTGCTAGAGTTTGTTCCACGTGATTAATTCCAGGGACTTCGGCCTTCATTTCGGGCCTCTGAGCAAAGTGGCCACGGCCCCCATCTTCCCTTCCCTGTCCCCAGTGGGTCCCTGCCAGCTTCTCTCGGGACTGCTTCTTCTCAAAGGCACCCTTCGCTGATAGGGCCTTTTCTGGGCAGTGGTTCTGCTTATGATTAATTATAATGAACCCGGCTTGGACCTTTGGCTTTCTGGCTCTTAGCTGAGTAGCCAAGATATTTCTCTAGACCGAGATAGTTGGCTTCAGTTCTAATTAATGATCAGTCGTTATCAGCTCAGTTTAGACTGTTTGCTCTCTGACTCCTTGGCTGGATAGCCTAAACACTTCCCAGATCCAAGGGCTTGCTAAAATTTATGTTCCCTTTTTTGGCACCGTCCTGATAACTCTGATGCTTTCCCGGATCTGGAAAAAAGATTTTAATTGTTTACGGTCTTGATTAATGGGTTTGCTGTTGCTTCGATAGTCCATCATCTATAATGATAAGAAACCGAAAAAACGAATGGGCATTTCATGTTGCTCTTCTGGGATGTTCTGGTCAATCCTTTTTAAGGAGTTACTGTTTTGTTTCCTTCCCTATTACTATTAAGTTAGTGATAATTTCATTATAATTGAACGTTAAACTACTATTTCTAATTAGTTTCTTCCTGCAGTATTTATTACGCTGTAGAATTTCTCACTGTTCTTTCAACAAAGTCCTTCCTCAGAGTTTTCTGGTTGTGTATCTGAAGTCAGCAGCTCAGGGAGACAGCTTGGTTTCGGTTTGCTTGCAAACACAGGGCGTTCTTATCACCTTTTTAACATCTATCGCAAAGCTCGGTGAGCCTTGTCTTCTTATTCTCTGCCACATAAATGAATCCCTTACACTGCACAATCATTCTTTGGCTAATTACCTCATTTGGCCAAGTAAATAACCCCCATTTAAAATGAAACTGCAAGTTCGTTTTTAGTAACAAGTTTTATCTCTGTGTATCCACTGGCTGTCTAAGTTCTCGTTCATGTCAGAGGTTCTTCTTGATACCCAGCTGTTATTTACGAGGCTGTCGGCTGTCGTGAATGAATGCACCTAGATGCTTTCCAAACACTTCGCTTCAATGGAAATAGACGCTCTCTCTGCTAGAATTCTCTGTCTCTGCTTTCTTTGTTACCGAAAAGAATGAAAAAAGAAAAAAACCTGGAGTATTTGAGTGAGGTGATAGTGTCGATTTCTCTTCATTTCTAAAATAATGTTTGCTCATCCAGTCTCACATGACATTTTCTTGACAATGACACCGCAAGCTACAGTTTGCGTAGTTAAGTTTCATGTCTTAAATGCACGGAGACCTGCCTCTCCAGGTGACTGATTTCTGTATTTGGTTTCAGCTCTCTCTGTATATATTTTCTGTTTGCTGTTCTTAGACGTTTCACACATGGTAGAAAGCACCTCTCGTTAAGTTCACCAACAACTTCCTTTTGGGAGAAATTCCAGGTTTTTTCCCTCCAATCTGGCTCTTTTTGACGTCTCTACTGCGACTGATGCTCTTCCCCCCTCCCTCCTCCTTGAAGCCCCTTCCTCCTGCGGCTTCTGTGACCCGCAAGGTCCCGGCTCCCCCTCCCTCTGCAATCATTCTTTTCCTGCCTCCTCCACGCACCCCCTCCTCAGCTTCCCATCCTCTAGTCCTGGACCACCCCACGGGCCTGTCTCAGCCTGTGGTTACTCTGTCCCCGGACGGCCCCCTCTGGGACGCGGAGCCTCTCACAGCTTTAACCATCACCTCCCTAAAGACCGATTCCCCAGCCTCTGAGGTCTCTTCTCCCACCTGAGCTCTGAGCCACGCTCCTGTTTAGACAATTTCCTCCTGGATTCCCTGTTTACTCATTTATTTAACCGATACTTATTGCATGTCTGTGATAGGCCAAGAACTGTGCCAGGCCCTGAAGATACAATAATGATAAAAATATACCATTTCTGCTCTCAAAGAGCTGGCAGCTCAGTAGAACGTAAGGTAAGGGTTCTATCGGATTATTTGCAAAGCCAAGCAAACAAAACAAAGCAAAACAAAGTGGGCTGTTCTTCTTGTCCCCCAGATTTTCTGTCTCTCTTTCTCTTTCTTTATAATTGGTTCCTCATTCTCCCAGGCATCCAGCTTGCAATTCTTGGTTCCAATCTTTTTGCAGGAGTCGTATTTCTTCTGCAATAATCTATGCA